AGGGAGGATGAGAGCACACACCTCCTAGAAATGAGGACACAAAGGGTGGTCTGAGTTCATCAGATACACATGGGGGAGGATGAAAGCACACACCACCTAGCAATGAGGAGACAGAAGGGTGGTCTGAGTTCATCAAAGACAGATGGGGAGGATGAAAGCACACACCTCCTAGAAATAAAGAGGCAAAGGGTGGTCTGAGTATGGTGGATAAGGATGCATAATAAAGAATGCACCCACTTCCTAGCCATGAGGAAACAAAGGGGGATGTGAGTATCATCAACACAGATGCATGAGGACATAAGCACACACCAACTAGAGACAAAGACATGACAGACAAGATTGTATGTGGAAGAGGCAGGTGTTTAAGACAGGGATGCAAAGTAAAAAATGAATCATTAGCCCAATAGTGTGAGGTTTGCCATGCCACAACTGCATACCTTTATTTTCACCAACATCTCACTCATCAGCACCAACTTTTGCTCATCTGTCTTTTGCTGCCATTCAAGTCATCAGTCATGTGTCTCTCTCCCTGCTTCTGCCTCACCTTCAGCAGCTTCCACCCAGTGTTGGCCACAGACCGAAACATGTCTGCCCAATACCCTTTTCTTATCCACACACCAACAACCCTCTCATTCACCATTTCACCCAGCAGTTTCCACATCATCTTATCATCGCATCTCACCCCAGCTTCCCGCAAGTGTTTATGCCAATAGAAAACAGCATACTCATTGCCATTATCACCCTGGCTCCCTGCTTTCACAATATTGTCTAAGCAGCTCCTTGCAACCTTGAAGTGTGCATCCCCAGTCAGGATCCGGAATCCAAGCGGTGCACGCTCACTTGTGATATAATCACGAAAAGATTTGTGCATCTGTGGCGTAGCATGATCAAACGACGTCGTGGTGCCCGGAATCAAAACGCTGCGCATCTGCCGAAGGAAGTTGGCGACGTCAAACTTGTCCTTGGGTATATCAGAAAGTAGTGCAATGATTTTATGAACGAGCAATGGTTTTTTAAGCACGATGATGGTTCCTATAACGTGCTGAAAGCCATCTAGTCGAGTAGCACGTCTGTCCTTGTCTTTTGAAGGCATGCCGACGTTCTCCCATGATGTCAAGATGAGTCTGTACAGATCTTCAAGCTCGTTGAGGCCCTCCTCGCTGAACTCCTTGAACACGCTCTCTCGACACGCCGTTCCATCCTCGAAAATCCGCCGTTCAATCCAGTGAAGAGCGGTTGCGGCATAGTGGAAGAGACCGTTTGCTTTGTCGGATAGCATCCACATTTGGTTGTTGTCTGGCCAATCATGCCAATCCGGCTCATCTGGTGTAATTTCCTTCATCCTAGCAACAATGAAATTGTGCACTTCATTGACAGATGACTCTGTCTCCAGGGGATACTGCTTGAACACCGCGTGTTTGAGCTTTTTGGACTTGGAGATGTCTGCCCAGTGCTCTGGACGCGAGGTGATGATGAATCTGATGTTGTTTGGAAGGTCACAGTCAATGGCAGGAGCAATGTGGGAAAGGATCTCGATGACGCTCCTAGCCGCATCGTTCAACTCGTCCAGGGCATCAATGAGAATGACGACCACGTCGCGTGACTTAGAGAGTTCCCGGATGGGGTCTAACAGAAGAGAAGTGACTTGCTTGTCCGGCGCCGCAGGATACCCGTTCTTCAGGGCCTTCTCAAGAACGCGAGCGGCTGTTGGAAAGGAAGCAAGCTGCTGCGCGATAGTGGGTATGATTTTGTTTGAATCGATCGTTTCGGGGATGTTTCGAGAGATAAAGAATTGAGCAGAGACGGGAGTGTCGTTCTCACGAAGATTCTCAACAATGGTAGCAGAAAGTGTTGATTTGCCACTGCCTGGAATACCCGTGACCCAGAAGATACGCTCAGCGTTAGAAGGCTCCGGTAATAGCCATTGCTCTATATATTCGAGGAGTTCCAAACGAGTGCCTTTGGCGCAAAGACTCTTGCTCTGATCTGTATGTTCGTACTTTGCAGCAATATGGCTGGCGAGCTTCTTTTCGATGGAGGCCTTGGGTGGAATCAATAAGCGGCATCCTTGATCAGCAACAAGCAAACGTACCAAACGACCGTCAATCTCCTGTTTCACCCGAATTTTTGTGACGGCTATTGCCTGGAAGGAACCAATTCAGAAACTGTCACACACCGGCAAATGTCGCCGTACCAGGAATTTCTCTTTCGCGCTCGTGAACTTTGACTCCCAGTCCCCCAAATCATCTTCTAACGACTTCTTCGACTGCCCGAGTTCAAAATCAATGATTGGACAAAAGAAAGATAAACCTACAACACGCTCCTTTGCCCATCGGCAAATCTCGTTCACCGCCGCACTAACCATGCGTAAGCATTGTAGATATCAGGGAAGATTCAGCGAAACTCACCAAATCGTCTTGAGATCTTCTTTTACCGACGGCTCCTCATCGGCAACCACGACAAGTGTGCTAATGTACTCAATCGCTTCCTTCGCAAATTCAGATACTTTATTTTGAGTAAGCGGGATATTCTGATTGAATGGGTCAGCGGGATGAAATGAGCCTGACAAAATGGCGTACGATACCGAGCTCAACCAGATTGAGCAATGCTTCAACAAGGGTTTTCGCAGGGAAAGGGCTGTCGGGTATGAAGGCTTTGAGCGTATCGAGAGTCTTTGATTTCAACGACCGATCGATAAGTCCCGCAAGTTTTGACCATTTGGAATTCTCGCGATCACCTCCCCATTTATGGAGCTGAGAAATAGCGTCGCCGTCGATGTTCCAAGCTTTCCACTCAATCGTAGGATTCATCTGTGTGCTGTGAGTCGATGTCGCAAAGTCAGAACGGATAATCGCACCTCCGTCTTCTTGTCGTTATCTGGTTTAGACTGTGCATCCGCTGTATGTTTGCCTGTTCAAGCAATGTTCGTGGATCGCTGGAAGCTGTTGAGTTGGAGACACTCACTGATCGCGGCTATGTTTCCCTCCGATGAACCACCACCATCGATACGTACGTTTGTAATCTCTGGGTTGGACCGCGACCTAGCTGGATATCGGTTTCGATCAATGCTAGCTAGCAATCGAGACGAAGACGCTTACCAATGCCTGCGCCACCTCCGGGAGTTGCGGTTCCGGAAGGCTGGGGTGAGGGCGCTCGACTGAACATTTGTTTGAGTCCGCCCTTCAGCTTGTCGAGCTTTCTCTGGACTGTCTGGTTCGGCATGGTCGTAGGAAGCAACTTGCGTGTAGGTAGAAACAACGTGTGGGTAGAAACAACTGTAGAAGTGTCCTGATATGGTCACAATGGTGTGAACCAAGTGTGATGGCTAAACTGGTGCAGCTCTTCGTCTCCCCAATCCCAGGGAAATTCAAGCGATTTGTTGCGACCCATGTCTTTGAAGCCTGCAGTCCAGGTAATTGGTACGTTTCTTGGGCCATCCTTGGGCCATCCCCTTCTTTCTTCGCTTCTACCAACCCCAGCGTAATCCACAAATCCTACCCAACCACATACGGTGCGTAGCTCTGTCCCAATCGAAGATAAGACCAACAAACCTCTCTGTCAACCTCCCCCCGTTAAAGTCAAGGCTCCCCCGCCCAAAGCACCTACTTCGTCGTTGGGTCGTCTACGTTGGTCGACACAAAGAATGGACCGCCACTTATGGGTGGGTGTGAATGCGGGTGTGAAGGCTCCCCCTGGATTTGAATGTAAGTTTTTTTCCTTTCGCATCTTGGGTTTTAAGGAAATGCAATTGGGAGCTGATGGTGCTACGTAGGGGATAAACCAATCATGACGAACAATAACAGCAAGCCAACGACACCCAGTGCGATTTCTTCCACTACGTGCAGTGGCGGCGGGGAAAGAATGCGAATGTGTGCCATTCCGGGTGGTAAACCCAACACGTCGCTCAGTGCCGCTTGGCAACCCAACTCGCCTTGAGGTCCTACTATTGCGCCAAGGCCTGATAATGTTTGGGAGTTTTCTGTCTCCTGTTCTCAAACTTGCTTGGTTCTAATGAGGTACCGTCAACTTTGAAGGGGTCAAACAAAGTCCTGGCAAGCCGAACACACCCTCTACTCCGGACCCAATACACCACCCCCACTCCCACCAGTGTCACCGTCACGCCTGACGACTCCGGATGGTCCCCAACCCTCAACTACTTCCACTCCAACCGACACCAAAGCCAAGCCAATCAAACGCCGACGTCATGATCTTCCTCTCCCCAAGTCAAGAAAGCGCCTATACGCTCTACTTCTATCGAGAATGAGGACGACCTTACGGAGTTGGAGATGCAGTTGGCGTACGTCGTGCGGTGGGAGAAGACTGCCATCGCGGCTTCCAGTGGGGAAGGCCAAGGACAGGAGGCCAGGGGCAAGAAGAGCAAGCCAACGATGGACGGACGAACCACCTCGACCCTACAGGCGGCCAACTGATGTGTCCCTCCCATGGGAACTTGAAGCTGTGTAAGAAGGGGATATGTTCTGGGATGTCGAGAGTTATGAGGAAGAGAGGAAGAAGAGGGAGGTTTGAAAAAGGGGGGAGGTGGTGGTAGAAAAGGTGGGTTCTGTTTGACTTTTGGCCTCTTGGTTCAATGCTTACTCGCGTCTTCAGCTCTCCGTGGTTCCGTTAAAACTCGTTATATACTGCCTACATGCTATTTCAGCCCCATTGGGCCCAGTAGCTGTATGAACCGAAGTGTGAGACGGGGGGAGGACAGTTATGTCGCTACATGCTTTCACCTCCATCCAATACTAGGCAACTTCGCCATCCCAAGGCGGAGATACCGAGCCAAACTGCCCTTCGTACAAATCTTCTGGCCTGCCGCTTCGATTTAATGCAGGTTGGGATGATTCATGAACCGCGTGCTCGTTCATCTTGATGTCTCACAGGTCGAGCCAACGTCATCTGTGCGAATAACAGCAGTCTCAATGATGCAACCAAAACAATATTTATTCTAGTTACTTATGTCTCAGAAACATTTGTAAATGATAAGAACTTCAAATTTAATCCACTGTTGTCCACAGGAAACGACAATGTCGCTGATGCTCAAGGGGGAGGCTCATCACCACGACGTCCTTCCGCCCAGCGACGGGGCAACCCTGAAGCTCAGCAGCCTTCTGCATGACTTCCTCATGCGCAGCTGTCGAAATCATAAGTTCAGTAACTGTCTGGAGCAGAGGAGCGAAGAGGAGACGCACAATCTTCAAATTTGAAAGGGCCCTACCCGGATAAGAGAGGATTTAGCAAGGAAGCCACAAAGGCGAAACGAACGCACCATTTCCTCTAAACGATAGCCTGAGCTCTTCAAGCTACACATTACCATGAGCTACACCCACTCAAGAAACAAAGCAAAGACCTACTGAGGCCCTGGCATCTCGCTATACCAGCCAATGGCCACCAGAAACTTATTTTGGAGGTAACCCAAACCGGTGCTCTCGGGTCTGTACCAAGGACGATATTGCCATCTATCGGGATAGTCAGCAGCCACCTTTACAACAACAAGAAATCGACCTCACTTGTTTGGATGCAGCTTTGGACACCTCTCCCCGGTTGGCTTGGGTAGATCAATCTTAACTGGAAAAGAGGGGTATATCCTGGGAAGGAGGAACCAGCGTTGTGCAGTTCAGTTCATCGCCATGACGCCACGCGTTAATGCGTGGAAGAACCATGGCTGAGCAGGTTGCCTGTGGCGGTGAGGAGAGTATTGAACAGGCGGACGTCAGGCAGTCTAAGGGGATACGTACATCATCCCAACCCTCACCCTATCTTCAAGCAAACAAAGCGCCACCCTTGTGACAGCGAAACTCCGGAGGCCGAAACGTGTCGGAACAGCGGAGAGAAGCTCCGCCATGGTATACTCTGCGACCTCTTTATTAGTCTCAGCTGGAATCATATTCTTCACCTCGTAGTCCTGCAGAGGAGAATGAGATACACAATAGGATATCAAGGCTAAAAGACGACACACCCGACTCCATTCTATCATTTCTTCGCGAGACTCGGGGATATCTCGCATATTCATCCGTCTCCCTATTTCAGCCCAGAAGACGTAAAACGCCTCACACTCCATTGGGGAGAGCTTCCGCCATCCATAACGCTCTGCCCATCGCTAGATAAGCAGACAGATGATGAATCAGATGCGGCCATTACGCCACCCTTGCCAAACAATCTCTCACCGGAGGTTCTAAAGCGAACAAGCACAACGTATTCAAAAAATCGTCGTTTGACTACAAACAACGGAAGTCATAAGTCTTGACGAAACGAAGAAGAAGACAACCCACAATTCTGTACCGGGAGTGTATCCAGTTGACTCTCGCAAGAGCAATCATAGCCCTCGGGTCGTCTGCGGGCGGTCCATTCTCTGACGACTTGAAATTGGGGTCCAGAAAGCCAGAAATCGGGCAGGCCACCCAGGTAGCTATATATGAAAGATGAGGGAGTAACCTGAAGAGTGACGTACTAGTTAACATGAACCAATCAGAATCTCAGTCTGCAAGTCCCAAAAGTAGCTATTCAGCAACTTGAGACACGGAAAAGCAGATAGAAAGACACACATCCGTATAACGTTCAATCGAAACCGTCTCTGCCGACTTGAATTCACCAGTCACGGACAACAACTTGATATCGATGGCTGACAGTGACGCCATCGTCAGCGCCCGCAAATGGAGTGAAAAAGTCGTCCTCACAATCGCATAGGTCTTGAACAAGGCGAATGCCAGCGAATAGTTCAGCAGCAATGGCATGTCATAGCTAGTCGATACCAGAATAATGCGTTGGGCCTCTTCCGGGGTGAGCGTTCCATCTTGATATTTCTTCATGTATTCCCGGTGGATGGCGTTGTATCTTCGCCAGCGCAAGAGACGGGTCAGGGCGAGATACCCGAGAACACCGATGATTGTGCCCTCGATGACGGTGGGGTAGCGTGCATGGTGTCTAAGATTTTTCAAAAAGTGAAGGAGGTCGATTATAAACCCAGGGGGAGTGAGGTTGTGGAACTCAACCATGTCAAGGACTCAAGGACTTGAGGGTGCAATTGAACGAGCGATATGTCAATTTGATCTCAACGATATTTTCGGCTCGAGGCTCGAGGCTCGGGACTTATCCACTTTCGGTCTAACAAAGTCTTACCCGATCAGGGCCGTAGAAGTTGAATGAAAGGATCTTGGCAAGTCTTGCAGCTGTCTTACAAACCGTTTGAACCGTTTTTGCAGGTCGAGTCATCGGTCAACAGAAAACACACTGGTATTGTAGAAGTAAGCGAAAGTACACGCCAGTTTGTGAAACAGCTTTACACCTCGGTACTTTAATTTAAGAAAAAACACAAGCGCTCATCGAATACTGGTGGTGGAATAAATGAGAGACCGGCAGACGAGGCGGACCTTCCTAATCGAAGTCTTAACTGAGATGCTTCGAGGGAAGGGCGACGTCACACTTGTGTGGGTTTCCAGGCAGGTGTAGAATGCAGGAAGGAAGGCAATGCCCGATGTCAGATGATAGACTGCCCGCGTATGGGAGCTGACAACTCTAGCGAACAAAAAGCTTTTTCGCTCTCAAAGGTCGAGCAGCCCCAACTCGACCAGTTTCTTGTTGATAGGCCCTATAAGCTTCACGAAGGTGATCCGGCGATAGGGGCCCAGTCTCGCCACGACGCATTTGAATCTCTCGCGCTGTATACAAAGAATTGAGTAGTTGAAAAATAGACGCAAGTGACAAGGAAACCCGCGGTAAGCCCTGGGGCCTTTCCGCTGATGGATAAACAACGATCAGAAGAATACTTACCTTGCTCAACGATCTCACCCACAAAAACCTTGGAAAAACCAGCTATGATTTGGGCGACAGGCTGGGAGGCTTGATACCCCAAAGTTTGCTGGATAACCTAAAAAAGAGATTAGATCATAAGGATCATCCAGATTGAATCCTACCTTTCGGACGGCTTGCTTTGGCAAGGCATGCCTCCTATACGACTCGAAACGATCGTACTGACTAGGACTGAAGTTGTCTATCAGAACTCTACAGCCAGTCGTTAACTAAGTATATCGATACGAGTCTAAAGAAAGGACGCACTTTAAGTTGCCTTTAGACTGACTCTGTCATGATAGCTGAGCGGAGTAGTCGTCGTCTGTTATTGTAGGTAGTAGCTCGTCGTCTCCTTCCTCGTCTTCCTCAGCAGGGGATTGACCAGGACATGTACTAGCAAGTGCTGGTACTCCGGACAAAATAGAAGCACCGTGGAAGCTGATGAGTTTGGACATATGCAACAATGGAGCGCCTGTTGGCTGTGAGCTGGTTCCGATGGCTGCTGCCGACGATGCGCCATCGCGGAGCTGCTGACCACCGCTTCCCGCCGCACCTCCAACCGCCGAAGGCTGTCCAGGGCTAGCTAGAACGCCACCTTAAGGTATAGTGCCACCAGCTACCAGCAGCTACCTCTGCCTCTGTCAAGAATTTCACTTGAGTTCCCCTGATGACAAGGCCAGCAGCAGTAGCCGCTTCCCGCATCCGGTGTTGGTGCCTGCCTTCCCACCCATTAGGCGTCGTTAACACCACGTCCATGTTGCGGTATAATGAATTCCAAAGCGATTCCCCGTTCCCATGTGAGCTGGTGACATGCACTTGCAGCTGGCCTTTTACATACTCGAGGAAATCAGCAAAAATATCATTAACTGTTCGAGAAGGCGGTAACTCGGGGATCTCAATCTCAATTCCGTTAATCTTTGGGAGGTAGTCAGGCCGGAGGTAGAGTTTCCACCTATTCTTACATTCAGTATTGTTAGAATACATTGGACTGGATACGCGTACCATTCAGCTTTTATCCAGCCCTCTTCATCCGCTTCAGCCTTCGCATCCTGTGCAACAATTCAGTTTAGAAGCGTAGGATCATCGTTAAGAATTTCTAACGCACGGGACTGTCGGTCTCGGCACCGAGACAACGTGGTTTCCCTGAACTATCGTAGTAGACTAATGATGGGACTTTGGCGTCTGGATTGGCCTTCGAGGTGTGATTATTCAGTAGACCAGGAAGTAAAATCGGCTATCGCCTCACCTGCTTGGGCCAGCGTAGAATCTAAAAATAATGAATAAGAAAGACGTTGGTCATAATGGTGGACTGGACAAGCACCTCTTCGAACACTGGAGGTGTTCCCGGTTGAAGGATACAGACTGAAGCTGCTGAAAATGTAGTGCCGATGTCTATTGAGACGACTAACTGCGTTCTAGGTCCTTGGTAAGGTCGTCGATTGGAGCGCATAGATTTGAGAGGTGAGTACGAGGTTGTAAAGTGTGGGATAATTATGGCAACACCGTGTTTTCACAGCTGCCGTGATGTCGAAGCTGTCCATTCGTACGTTAGTAGTTTTCACGAGAATCCACACCATTAAATTGTTTATTCTTCATGGGCGACATGTCAAACCCTATATACAAGTTTTACTGCTGATACTGGGTTCATCCATTCCTTAGCTCCCTTAGATGTCGCTTCCACAGGCCGATCAACAACTTTATACGCGCCGATGAGCATAAACGCGTCCGATACGATCTCTGCCAAACCGCCAGGCATCAAGCGAACGGGGTTTGGCGAGATTGGGAAAAGACTGCGATCCTTTGCAGAACCAGCAGATAAAAACTTGTAAAACGCCACACTGAAGGCTCGCCAGGATGGTGATGCTGGTAAGGTTGCGTCTGTTTCTAATAAATGAGAATTGCGAACCCAAAAACTCGGAAGTCAATACGAACCGTTGTAAATGAGCTCATGTCCAAGTCCCTGCCACACAGCGCCATAAAGCGGCGTTACTCCCTCGCTAATGCCCCCCTTGTCCCAATCTTTACTCCGAATGACGGCGATCTTCCCACCACTCTCAACAAAAGTTTGAGAAATCAACGCGGTACTCTCGTTCTCTGAGATACAATCTACAGCGTAAGAGATACCGCCGGAGACTTTTCGCACGTCTTCGACCCATGTAGGTGAGCGGTAATCGAAGACGGCCTCGGCTCCCAGTGCGAGGAGTTTAGCGTGGTGCTTAGGGCTGGCGGTAGCGAAGATGCGATATGGCTTTCCCGATGGGGTCCGGAGAAGGCTGGCGAGCTCAATGGTGTATAGACCAAGAGAGGTTGCCGCTGAATAGACGAGGACGCTTGGTGCATCCGTTGCTGGAGGCGCGAAGGTGTATGGGTTAGGAAAGGGTGCTGGAATTTCGAGGCGGATAAACAAGGCCTTTGAGGTTCATTGTTAGCTATGTGGAACCGGCCCATAACATCGTGCATACCTGAGCAGCAGTAAGAGCACAAAGAGGAACTGTTGCAGCCTCATCAAAAGTGATCCCAGCAGGCACATGAATAGCCAGATCCTGCTCTAAGATGGCGTATTCTGCGAATCCTCCGGGACGGGGGGTCACAGAAGTTGCTGGCGAAAAACGTCAGCTTGAAGGGGAACTGTCCATTTGATTTAGCGTACCTCCTTGCAGGAGACCTGCAACGCGATCTCCTACCTGCCACCCCGTCACGCCCGCACCGACCTTATCAACGACTCCTGAGATGTCACTCCCAACAACACGTCCTAGTTCGGTACTGCGTATACCGAGCGTCCACCAAATTCAAGGCGACAGAGTGCACCTTGACTCTGATATTGGAGTTCAGGGCATCATTGAAATCTTGGATCATATAACTCACCGAATCTCATTATGTCCGGGCTCGGGAACAGCGATATCTGCGACAACGGCAGTCTTGTTTGGTGCGGTGACGAGAGCTTGCATTGTGCGGTCCATTTTTCAGAATGTTCAGGATTTGCAATCGAGTCTTGCCCTTATAGACAAACACATGACGGACTTAGAAAGACTCAGACCGGGGGAATGAATAAGGGCGTAAAAAGTGGTAAGGTTCAAGTAAGCTGAAGGTGGAAACAAATTCTGGATAATACAGCCGTCACAAAGAATAACGTAGTCTCAGAAGCCTTCGGCTTAGACCTTCGGGAACTTCCAGGACTCTGGTATATAGAGTATACGTGGGGGTACCAGCTAAGCCTGGTGACCTCGCTGGTGACCTCCGGATAAGGGAACCGAGGTCACCACCTGTATATACGCTTGTTCGGTGAAGTCGCAGGGCCACCACCCTCCCTCACACACTTAAGAACCATTTTTAAATATCCAAGAACCTTCGGTGTGCCCTTCCGAAGCTTGGCCCACCCAAGACAGGTAATCACTGCCCTTCCGGCAAGTCACACGCTTCTCACGACCAGGTCGCCATCTGCTTCAACCAGCGTCTTCTTGCAAAAAAACAGCGTATATTCGCATTCGCGCTTGCTCAGTCCACCACCCCACCAAATTTGCTTGCTGAAAAAAGAGGGTGGGTGTGTCACGCTGCATACGCGGGCGGTGACTCCCTCGATCTCAGCGATCAGCGCACGTTGAACCTCAACAACGGGTACCTGTTATCCAGGACTACAGCCTCTGACCGTGATGGCTTGAGTTTCCCGCCCTTGGCTTCAAAACCTCGTACCTGTTAAACTAAAGCTGTCTATCTAATCTACCACACTGCTTTTTTCTCTAATTCCTTTCGTGTCTGGACTACTTCCTGTATCATAAGTTCTGGCAGCCCAATCTCTGCACTCATTCTCTTTCTTGCTGAAGTGTGTGCTTTTTGGTGAGCACTGTCTTTGTTTGCTCGCTTCCACCAAGTTTCTGACACGGCGATCATTTCTTTATTAGATCGATACTTATGCCGATGCATAGCGCATCGGCGAGAATTCAGTGGGGTAGTATGTATGGCCCCCAGCATCCTCCATCATCTCTGGCACGTAAAAATCGACACATAGCGCAGGCGGCAAGTACCTCACCTCTCTCACCCCCGACCCACCTTCTTTCGCCAGCACCATTCTGCTTCAAACACGATTCAAACACGATCGTAAACAATATTCCAACTTTGCGACCTCACACAGACAATATTATGGGGTCAATGGAAAACTCCCTGGCTATTCTCGAAGCTCAATCCCATGCTGTGCGACAGAAGTACCTGGAGAAGGAACAGGATGACAAGGAGACAAAAAATGCATATGGCCGGCATATCAAACATTATGTGGACTGGTGGACGATGTCGCAAGCCCACCTGGCGAATGAGAATCCCACACACTTCCAAATTCCTGCATTTCCAATCACTGTTGCGAAGGTGATGATGTTTCTTGAGCACGAAGAAACACGACCCAAGGTCTGTGATTTCATTGCTTGTAAACAGGATTTGCTGACACATAAGGGCCACAGCGAAAGCGGGGCAGCGATGACATTCAAGGGTCGTCGCTAGGTGTATCCCACTTCAAGCAAACAATTTCGGCACTCGAGCATCGGCGCTTCAACGATCAACATCAATTCCCCAACATCCCTGAAGCCCAGCTGCCTCTCCGTCGTGACCCTCGCATCCGAACCTTTGAGTCAGCTGTGGCTCACAATGAGCCACAGCGTGTGGCTAAAGCCCAAGCCCTCAAGGCTGCAGGAACGAATGCTGGCAAGTGAAAAGATAGATTTCTATTTGCTAGCTGTCAGCTGATCGGTTGTGGATTTAGATACATATACGACGGAAGAACTTCAGCGATGTGCCTGGTGGTACCTTGCTGATGGTCATGGGCCCCGCCAGGTCTGTACCCAGTTCCGCGACATGGCTCAGTTTCTCGCATCGACTGTGCTCGCTCTGCGCGGTGATTCATCGCGCAGCCTTCTTTGGTCTGACATGTACCCGACCGAGATTCCGATGAACGACATAGCCCTTGGAGCAAAAGTCAAGGTATGTCTCTTCGCTTTCTTGGTAGCTTACCTGTCACTGACCTTGATATGACCTAGGCCCTCGCAATCTTGTCAGACAATGCTAAACACAACCAAACAGGCAGAACAGATGAGCATGCTGCATTCCGACACCGCCATGTCGAGCTTTGTGCAATCGGGGCGATTGCCCAAGTCTTCTTTGCCAACTTCCACATTTTAAACATTGCCATGCCATCATTCACCCCCGAATTTGATGTTCCTGGATTTGGAGAGTATGGGAGGCGAGATTGGTATGAGCTCCATGTCTTTTCAACAAAGAACCCTCGGGAAAAGATGACTTATGAAAGTGGGTTGATTTGCGTGTTCAAAAACTTACACTGTCTAATGTTGCTTATAGATCATCGTGAACGCGTCAACCTGATGCACGCAAAAAATGACATATCCATCACCAAAGTTACCCATGGCGGGAGAGGCTATACAGTCAAAACAGCGCGCGAAAATGGTTCCAGTGTCGATGGCGCTAAAGCCTTGGGTGGCTGGTCAGAAAGTGGCTCGTTTCGACCCTGCTATGACCGCGCCCATCCTGTTGATGCTATGCTCGGGGCGGCGATGTTCAATGGAAACAAACCCGAGTCATACTTCCTGCCTCGAGGTGTACTAGGTAGGTTGATCTTTCTCTCTTGTGTTGATCTATGTGTGTTAACCAGTACTACAGAACCCCCCCTCGAGCTCATGAAGGCTATCTTCCCATGGGTCGAGGGTGAGCTTCAAGCCCTCAACCTTCGTCAGCATCAAAACCGACTTGCGAAGGACATCGCACTTCAACAATTCCTCAGACTACTTATTTGGTTTCGGCTTGTTCTTCTTCAAGATGCAGCCGTTCTTTATCAAAGCTGCCCTCAGTCCCCTCTCTTCTCCTATGCACCATTCAATGGCCAGCAATTTCGGTCCTTTTCTGCCCAGTCAACAGTACACATAGAAAAGGCAGAAGAAGAGGCTCGTCTTGCCTTCAATCACCTCCCTGAACATCTTGTGTTGAGCCTTCGGGGAGCTGTCTCTGGCATATCCTTGGAACAACGACAAGAACGAGAAATGAATGAGGCTCATCGACTACGCATGGAGGAGCAGATGGCTAGTTTCGGTCAATTCTTACAGCAGCTCACGACATCAAAAAGGCGACGTCGCACCATTCTGCCTTGTGAGTCGCCGTGCTTACATTCTTAGCTGTCAACTTCTAATCTCTGTTCAGTGTTACCTCCACCAACCTTGACACTGCCTCCATTGCTGCCCGTGTCATCGCTGCCACCCACAGTCCATCCTTGCAGTGATTCCGTCACGTTCGCCTCACCCAAACCCACATCACCATCCCTGTCTCCCATCGTCGTCCATGCCAGCAGCACGTCAAACTCGAATGCAATGGCTGCTTCTGCCACTCCTCTTGCTGATGCAGCATCTTCGTCTGGCCATCATAATTCGCAAGACATGCCAGCTACATCCTTAAGGGCTGTCGAGGCTCTTCCATCAACATCTGCAATAGTCACGCCTGAATCGGCAGCACAGCATGCGGCATGGGAAAATCTCGTCAAGCGCTTTGGTGACGACAAGCTCCAGAGGCACCAGTGGGACTGGGATCTGAAAGACCAAGCATGGCTTCCTCACTACACATTCCAGCCAGTCACTAAAATCTCTGACATCTGGCATGAATATTCAGAGGGTCTCCAAGGGTTCCTCTCTGTGAGGGATCTAAATACGACATGGGGAGCTAAATGGAGACGGAATCACGGTGGGCAGAAAACAGAAGCAGGCCGTCGAAAGTCTGTCGTCGAACTTGTTGAAGCACTTTCAAGCAAGCCACAGTGGAATACAAAGCTTGTGTTACGCTTTCTTCGCGAACAGTATGAGAAGTTGATGACACCACGTAGATTCATTGATTACCTGAAAAAAGATAAGGGTGCTGGAAGGCTCGAAGTTCTTCGAGCAGCCCAGATGTACCCCTAGGGTCTTGGTATTAAAGAACAATTAATCTACTCCTTCGTTACCGCCACCTCTCGCTGCTTTAAACGATTCAAAGTAAAAGTACAAATTTTATAATCTAACTACCACTACCTTATTTTTGATTTGAATTCTGTTGCTGTGTGCTACCCTCTGAATCTTTACTGATGTCGTGGATGACCCGCCTCCCACTGAACAAGAAAATCCTTCAGCTGGTCAACTCCAGGTGGGGGATGCTCAGTGCGATTGATCCATTCTACCACTTTTTGAGAGGCTTGCGGGCCCTCAGCATATAACTTGATGATCTGTGTCATATTTTCGGCATCGGCGAGAGATGTTGTTCCAATTCCCAGTGCATCCTTGATATCGGTCTTCTTAATTTTTCGAGTCTGGAATGAAGGTTGACACAGCTTTAAAAATCGAAAAGAAAGAAAACATGCCGAAAAGGGAGGTGTTGTGTGGAAATAATCACGAGAAAAATCTGCAGCAAAAGCCCAGAACCGGACTCGTTCTGCATTTTGGAGTGTCCGGTGTTTGCTTCCATGGAATTCGCTCCACCCAGGCCTACCAACGACTTGGCCTTTCAACCACTCACCTACTGGGTTCACTTGAACGACATCGTCGGGTTTGTTTTGGGAACTGGGGCCAGCTTTAAAAAAATTAATAACCTCTCCCCGGCTTGAGAGCATGTCGCTAGTAGGAGCCAGCAACCCAATTTTCTGCAAAGTAAATAGGGTGTCAACAATCAACCAGGTTCTGTAAAGGAAGCTCACAGAGGGAGGAGGATCAACGTAGATTTCCACACGGCATGATGGTGGGACAGTGAGTCTATTGGGCCGTGTCTGTGCATTCTGAAGCAATTCGGTGTCCTCCACTTTTGCGAAGTATTGTACATAACCAACATCAACAGAATCGCCAATACCGATTTTGGCAGGACCTGTCAGAAAGGTATGAATAAAGTCTCAATGCACACCAGCAGAGATATGTTGTTGAAACAACTCGCCTTCAACGGCAGCCATCGTTTTTTGAAGCTCTGTCAAGAGCTCGCTTGCACTGACCTGCCAATCTCCCTTCTCTCCATCAGGCCCGATGTCGACTGAACGCGATGCAAGGAGATAAATGCACTCCACCGAACGGGTAACATCTGCCGACCCAAGCCGCCTATCTAGCAGCAGGAGCTTGACAGGGAGGTTCCTTTCTTCTGTACTCAGACCCATGCTGATGTTTGCAAGCTGATCGTCCTGTTGCTCGTGAGACTGAGGAGATTGCTCAAGTGGTGTCAAGGGGCTCGAAGATTTGCTCCTGGAATCATTCACTGAAGATCTCACTTCTGGTTTGGTGAACCCCCCAGTGAGTATGATGGTTTTCAGTAGTGGTACAGATGTTTTCTTTGGGCTTCGATTTTCTGGTGGCCATTTCTCCATTTGACGATCGACAATCTCGAGTAAGAAGGGCTTGGTCAGTCCATGACTGTAATGCGAGTTAATAGTCAGATAATCTCAAACGACAAAGGGGATAAAGAACTGACAGATCCTCGGTGGTGTAATGTTGAGGTTCGCCAGCCATTGTTAAACTTGAACGCTGTGGAAAGTTGTGCAAATGGAATGTCTCACTTGAGGTCAAAAATGCACTGCTTCAACATTCTGGATGGCAGCACACCAAAGAATAGGCTGAACGTAGGACTCACATAGCAGCAGGCTAGCGCTAAATGCAGCGTTTTGCACACTTACACAAATTGCTTTCAGAGGGGATCGAACGTGCAGCTTCGTGGAATCGGCATGAACATTATACACAGAGCGCACCGTTAGACCACTTCACCACACGACCTTTGTAAATCTGTTGCCACAACAAGATCATACCCACACAGGCTGGTGGGGGATCAGCGACTTTTCTTCGATTCCTTCAGTTGAAGCTCAAATCAAGCAATCGTTCAGCTGTAGAAAACAAAACAAATGAAAAAAATATGCTCTATTCACCTTTCAGTCCAACATCATTCAGCCACTTTCTTGCTTCTTTGTTCATTTGACAATCTCTCAGATGTAAAGAACGAAGCAAATGAGGAAGCACAGCCGTTTGGCCTGCACAACTAAGGCTTTCTTCAATTGCTTCAGTTGAGGCTCGCTGTTTCCATAACCAAAGTATCCTTCGGTTGTGGGAAAAGAAGTCCACTTTCTTCACATGATGCTCATTTTGTTCATTTGAGAACCTCTCCAAATGAAGAGAACGAAGCAAATAGAGAAGTGGGATTGTTTGGCCCTTGCCTTCATTTGAAGGGTTGTTCAAAATGAAGAATCAGAACCAAACAAATGAAATGAAATGAGCTTTTTGAAGTATCTTTCACTTCTTTCAACCGAAGTTTATTCAAATAGAGCAAATGAAGCAAACGAAAAGCTGCTCGGTTGAGGGTCCTCTCCATTAAGCAATCATTATTTAATTGCTAACTTAATTTCAACTGAACATATTCTCTTTTCCTTCAGCCTTCAATCGAAGAATTTTCAATTGAAGCTTCAAATGCTTCAATCCTTTCAGTTGAAGAATGTCCATTCGGAAGTAACAAATGAAACAAAAGAAAAAACAAACCAAATGGAGGTGGCCCATCTGTTTCCTTCAGTTGGGGGCAAAAAGTCATTGTTTGCTTCGATCGAGCATATATCAACCCACAGGAGGCCAGGTCACCACTTCATGTATTGAGGCGTGACGGCGCGCCAACGACGCGCGTGAAAAGTCACGTGAGAGGTCACCCAAGGTCACCACCTGGGTGACCGCAGGTGACCGAGACCTGTGGTACATGCTGTCAAATGTCCGATCCAAAACGGCCAAATTTTGGCACTTACGTACGGACGATTTTTCGGCGTTTCCGTCCGCAATTCGGATCCTACTTATCATTTTGGACCATTTCCGTCCGCAATACCTATCGGACATGTAAATGCTCGAGATCCGTGCACATAGAGGATGAGAGATGGAATTTAGGTCATAATGTCCGCATAAAACAGAAATAAAGTAAAAAAACGGTCGTAATCAGGTCAGAGTATCCCTTCTAACCTCGCAATGTTTCCATATTGCAGTGCTGCATGAGCCACGGAATTGCCAAGTAAGATCTAGTTACAAAGTCCTCTGAAAGTTTGTGTTCCGGGCCAGGATGAATGACGACAATAAACTGCCTGCTGAAAGCATGAGTCCATGACCTTCAAAAATACATTTAGCAAACAAAATGAGTTGAGCAACTGACCTTCCAATATATTCCAAAATCCCGACATCGTTGATTGCAATAGATTGCAATGGGATGAAAGGAGCGCTGTGGTAATTAATGGCTGATGCTGAGTCGCGCTATTCCCAAATGGATTATCATCGTTGAGAACGATGATGCGGTGCGTCGCTCAGAGGGCTTGGGGAAAATAGAAGACAGTGTGGGAGGGGTTGTGAAATTTTTTGAGCTCAAACCCAACTCAAGCCGACAGCTACAAACGTACGAAAATTGGATCGGACCTCCGTACGGACTGGCCATTTACAGACGCAAAATGGATCAAACCTCTGGCCAAAATTCGGGCTTTCCGTACGCATAAGGATCGAAGGTGAGACGATTTTAGGTCCGATTTCCGTCCGCATAAGGATCGGACATTCTATAGCATATACCAGGGTCCTGAACTTCCCGACGTGATGTCCAAATAAGCTAAAGCATTGCAACAGTTGCCAAACAGCTTTTGAAATCTTTTTGGTCCTGACCCCCATTCCCGCTCAGCCTCCCTCGGCCTCATTGATGCGGCATCCACACGACGTGCTTGCCGCGTATGGACGCGAAAATGCCCAGCCACCAGAGAGCGACACAAGAGACGCGACGGCAACGTGCTCAAACGCGACGCGACGCGACATGCAACCAACCAAACGACTGACATTGACTGTACGCGACCGATGCATAGAGCGAAAATGCCCAGACACGAGAGACGCGACACAAGAGACGCGACGGCAACACGCCCAAATGCGACGCGACATGCAACCAACCAAAGGACGGTACACGACCGACACGTCGCGCGAAAATGCCCAGACACGGAAGACCTAGTCCTGTTTTTACCACGCCCCCAAAACCGCGCTAGAAAATGTTTACATAATCTTCGGACTTTCAAACCGCGTCGCGTCAATATCACCTCGTCACCCTGGACTCTCGACGCGTTTTTTGTCGCATGACTTGTCCTATCCCCTCAAATTCAACTGTAGCCTCTTCCAACTACTACTTACTATGGATAACAATGCTCGAACTGTCCGGTCTTACAGGAAAAACTCTGCAATTCAAGTACCAGCAACACCCGATTACATTTCATCATTTCTATCACAATCTACACCTAGTTCCACAAGTCCTACAGTGAATTCACTCGTCGCATCATCCCCTGATGGTCTTTCGGCCTCGTCATCCGTTAATTCCTTGGCTGCCTCCGCTTCTCCGTTCAACGCGCTTGGCTCATCGAGTCAACCAAGGTTAATTCAGCCTCGACAGAATGAAGAGGCGAAGCTAGAGGGAAAGTTTAAACGAATGGAAGAGTTTCTAGGAAACTCGGGCTTTGATTCTATTGGAGATTTTCTAGGGATCCTGTTCTACAACCCAACTCGTGTTGACGGAAAGGATGATCCTCGTGGTGTGACTCATGGACTGGCCATCGCTCGATTCCTTCAAGGAAAAACAAAGACCAAAATGTCCGAAATCATCGGTCTCATATATTCTCACAAGCACAGTGCCCCGTCGCCGAGATCTACACAATATCACGAACGTCACACCTCATTCTCGCCCTCCATCTCGCCTGCGGCTATCAACCATGCGCGTCCTTCGCTGTTTACTTGGGCAACCAACCTCGTCGGTAAACATGTCCATCAAGAGATACATAAGCTTACCATGAAAGACGACGACACTCAGCTTCGTGCATCCACTAATGGCCGACGCCCAGAGGATAGCGTTAGACTGGTTACTTGGGAGATTTTGGGGAAATTTAGTATTGCTAGACTTTGTGAGAAGTACAAGGTGCGCGCGCCTGTCTCTTGGTATCTCACCGAGTCTATGGCTGCCTCGCGCAAAAATGGTGCTGTGATTACGAAGAAGCGGCGCCCCCATCCCATTGTACGTATTTCATCGGTACTTGCTGTTTATTTATGCTTAGCTCGTCAATTTAGGTACAAGTTGGCGCTATTGGCTCGTTTATCCTAACCCGAAACCATTATGCAAACGGAGACCTTGCGATGGCCCTCGGCATATGGCACTTTGCCGCCAAATCACACATCGACGTCAAACGTGTCTACAGCAGGTTTGGGAATATTGTAAGCGACACGACGGTGCGTAAGGCCCTAAACACCATGACTGGCTCGAGCCTTGCTTGTCTACGAGACTCGGTTAAGAATGCGACGGAGCGGGGAGAAACCGAGTGGTGTCTAGTGCTCGACAATGTCCAAGAGTATTGTCCGGTATACGAAGGGGGTATTTCGCGTGAAAGTATTCTTAAGGTCGGGACGGCAGCAACAGCAATCCGGCTCGACGATTGCAAACCTAGTGCTTTTGATTTACAGAGTCACCTCGCACGCGTCGCTGAGAAGAAACGCACTACAATGACTGTCGAAAGCATCAGGGCGGATATTGACTGGACTCATGTACACGCAATCCAATCATTGCATTGGGTTCGCGTTCTTGTCGACTACATCCCGGAACTCAAGCCCATGTCCAAAGAAATTTCAGCCAGGTTTCGCTCAGCACCGCTTGCCAAGCATCGCATGCGCGAAGTTCGGAAAACTGTGGTGCAGCCGCTGGGAACCAACGCTGAGCGGGAGATCGAGGCTCAAGGAATGGCGCGAGCTCTCATGGACTTTGACCGTCAGATGGGCGTTGGGCCGGAAGCAGCAGACAAACTAATCTCATGGGTTCATGGAGATGGTGCTTCACATGCGACAACGCTTCGACTACAGAAGCACTTGTGCTCCATTCCTGATAACCACCAATCCTTCCGAAATCGTGTTTCTACTCCTGAAATTTGGCACGCAAGATCCACAATGATCAATTCCATTTCTGCAAATCATTACGGACCAGCGACCTCAAAGGATCCGTCGTCCCTTTCTCGCAGCTCGAACACAGCAGGATTCAAACGGCCCAGCAACCTCAATAGTTGTGATTACTACCCCACAGTACGAAGCATGACACTGATCTGGGAAGCACAAGTTCTCGATTGCTGGAGGTGTGTCCACTCCTTTATTTTGACGTCTCTCTGATACTAAACAATGTCCAGGATATTCCTTGATGCTGTACCCGATCTCCTTTCGCACTTTGCTCATCTAGCTAGTCAAAACAACCTGCCTTCGCTTGAAACACTCGTATGCTGCGCTGATACCCTTGTCAATCGGTACACATCACAGGATGCATACGAGCAAGCTCTATCTCTTGCGGATTCGAATGATGCACCTACATCCATGAAAGTTTCTGTCGGGCAATCTACTACAATGTCGACAGTTGTAGACATTGCTGAAGGTGATCTACCCGGCACTCCTCCAATGGAAGATCTGCCAAAGGTTCATCAAGAGGTCAAAAACTTTGACGGTGATCGGGTCCTTGCGAACAGCATTCTTTTCCTTCAAGATTTTGGTTGGTGGACCGAAATTGCTTATGCTGTTCCAGAGGGCGATATTGGACGTGTCTTTGAGATTTTGAAGGTGAATCTTTGTGTTTCAATTCGTCACGCTTCATCTGACATTGTCTGGCAAGATCTGGATATTCACGTTTGCCGGGTCAACTCATCAGAACTACACAACCTATCTTCTAGAAGTGTATTGCCTCTTACGCTATGAGGCGTCTCAGGACCTTCGTGACGGAATACTCAATAATTGGCTTGTAAATGTAACTGGTGAGCTAGGAAGGTGGATTGAAGCGGACTTGCTTCAAGAGCACTATAACCGCTGGCTTGAAGATATGGTCAAGAAACGAGGCGGCGATTTCGATGACGATTTCTATCGTCATACACTTTCACCAAACGTTGATCATTTCCTACGAATCAAAGAGGAGATTGAGAACGCTTTCACACTTCGTAGTCGAGGGAAGACACATACCTCACCCCATCTTCGTGACGAACTTCGAATTCTCCTTGCTCTCTTCAAGGAGGAAAAACTTCACCTATTTTGCTCCAGACGGACACTGGGACATGCAGCAATCAATCAATTCAACGAAGGTCACGAGCGGCTAGATATGGGCAAACTTGATGATTTTATCTGCAAGTCGACAGCCTATGCAGATGTTATTGGCGAAATCCAGGCCTATAAACAAGCAGAAAAAGACTCCGAAGCCAATCAATCACAACCTCCCAGATACGATGCCTTGTCCCCTCACATCAATGACAGCTCCAACTCGGATGCCATCAATATCTCCGCCAGCGAACCAACAAGGCCCCCCAACTCGAGCAGTTCTGAAAGCGACTCCATTCGTTCATTATCGCCGTCCTCATCATCATCTAGTTCACCATCTGAAGATGACAACGACAATGACCCTAGTGATGCTCATCTCGCTAGCGGTTCCGACTACAGTTTCTATTTGGCAGACAACCAATTGACTCACGCAACTTGGTACGAGCAGGAATGTGAGGAAGATGGGGACAATTCAAGTGACGAGGATGAGAGCAGTCATGATGCAGACTGTAGCTTCGATTCGGATGGTGCTGAAGATGAAGATTTGTTCAATTTTGAAGACACTACTTGTGAATAATATTTTACTTCTTCCTTGACCTCGTAACCATTCTATTTTCCTTTCCACTGTTGTTTGAGGACGACGCTTCAGCAATTATAACACTTCGGCGGGTGCGATACTGTGGGCCAAAGCTTCCTTGTACCTCTGCAACGCTGGGTTGAGGAGCTCTGGGAGCTCATAGCCGCTTTGTTGTGTTCATTGCCTCCTCAAGTGCTTGGCGTTTTCGACCCAGGGGTGGCACACACGGTTCAAGTGGCTGTTCAGGTGCATCTTGTTCACGAAACTCAACGTTGGACAAGTCTTGTACATCAGTGTCTTCGTCGTCGGTGGCTTCAACAAGACGCTGTTTCTTGCGTTGAGTTCCTCTAGTATTTCGTTGAACTGTGATTGATATTTGAATCTCAATGATTGAATCGAACAGGGCATTTTTATGACGGGAATAATAGGACCACGAGCCGTTGAGAATTTGATCGAGTTCGGATGGGAAATGGATCACAAGCAATTTGTCGAGTATCAAGGATATAGCACGAGATGGGAAATACGATGACCGTGGGCGGTATTTGTGGGCGTCAGACTTGCGTTCAATTTGGCGAATGGATTCACCAAAGTTGAGTAAATGTTTCTGTGCGGCTTCTCTCTCTTTTTTCTTCAGCTTGTCTTTCTTTGGCGTAGCAGGAAATCGATGAGAAGTCCGAGGTTCTGTCAAGACAGGGAAAGGAGCTGAACCTACAGGCAACGGGGATGAAGGAAACACAAGAGCATGATTCCCTAACCGTGGTAGACAAAGTGAGCATGGTAGCTGACGACCGGCAGCAATGCAATCTAGACGAGACAGATCTGGGCGAGAGGGATCCAAGGAAGGGTTGGCATAGCAGGTATTGATGCACGCGATATAACAAGATTTTTCAGTAATCACGAGGGCTTTACATTGATCGAGCACACAAGGAGTTTTAATCTTCTTCTTGGATCGATTGTTGAGTTGAACAGGAGAAGGAATGGCTAGGAGCAAATCATATCGCTTCAACTGTAGGAACAACAAACTCACATGCGAGGAATGAATGCGCTTCCTTGATTACAGAGCGATGTGCGAGGATGACACCTCTTCCAATTGTATTTGGATCCCTTCCCACACGGCCTTTCTCCTGCCATGACTCATTAAACAATCTGTAAGCGTGGTTCGGTCTCAAGAAGCTCTATTGTCTGCCTGTTATAATCAGCGGGGCAGATGCTGTGATAGACCCGAGCTCGGATGAGCTTGTTTGTCCCTTCAGGTTGCATCCGCCAGATGTAAGCAAAGACCTGAGAGACCTGGTTGACAGTTCGGCAGTGTATAATAGTTTTACGTCCGCTTGCAAGGTAAGGAAGAATATCAGGAAACTTGTCGCCATTGAGTCCATGAGTGAGGAATTGTACGGTAAATTGTGTATTCGGACGCTCGTTAGACCTCCGGATGAGTACAAAGTTCCCTTCGAAGAAGCCAAGACTTTTGCAGACAGAAACCGTTGGTCGCCCCGGCTCGAGTGTTGCAGTGAGACCGACAATAGATACTGAAGCAGGAAAGCGCCCACGCAGAAAGGTTCCAATGGTCCCAAATGCTAAACGAAATGCAAGACCCCATTCGTTGATAAGGTGGACTTCGTCGACGCACGCAAACAAGATGTTCGCCCGAAAAATTGGATGTTCCGTGATTTCCCTCCACTCCTTGTCGCGCAGGTGCTCAGGATCCACACAGATAACCTGCCATTTAACGCACTCCTTGATTTCTCCTGCCAAACGAATACCAGCCTTGCGCGCCTCGCTCAGGGTTTCTTTGCAGTACGAGAATCCGGAGATGTTGAGCTTCAAAAGCTCGTGAACCTAGTCCGAAATTCATGAGCGGAACAGCAAAAAATGGCAAATAAGCGTGCTATGTTATCTGCCAGTCCCTTGGTTGGTGTGACTACGACTCCGATTGGTCTCTTCCGAGTTGGAAGGCCAGCTACATAGGCGTTCGGGTGTTTGTTGTACTCCAGCAGCACAAGAGTCGGTATTGAGAAGGCCGCTGACTTTCCCTCTCCAGTGGCCGTACAGCAAAGTGAATCCTTTCCATCTAGAATAGTGGAAACGAGCTCAAGTTGAACCGCATGCAGTCCGTTCGTCAATTCGGTACGAGTTTCTTCACAATGTTATTGATCGTATCAAGTCCTTCTGGGTCCTGCCAGCGGGGTTGTCGAGTCGTCATTGAGTCGTCATAACAGAATAGAGATCAGACAAGATGTAGAATGTCAAGTTTAACGTGTATTCGAACAGAATTGCGTGGGCTATCGCGTCGAGAGCAAACGGCAAGGACACAATATTGACGCGACGCGATTTCAAAGTCCGAAGATTACATAAACAATTTCTAGCGCGGTTTTGGGGGCGTGGTAACAAACAGACTTCATACATCGTGAACCAAGGTACGACTTCACATGTATCGAAGTCTGTCTAGGAGAGACTACGGAAGACCCGACATACGGCAACATGCCCAAACACGATCGACACATCGCATCGTGCCGTGCCTTTATTGGCCAATGGGTAGAGTGCAGGCGATGGGGGTGTTAGGTAGAACCGTGTATGTGATTCTGTATGCCCCCCTCCCCTCCCCTTGTTTTGAATCTGATACCACCCCTTCTACTTAGTTTTATTTGTGTCAATGTGGACCATGGCACGGCGTGCTGATGAGCTCGCGCGGCGGATGCAACGGGGTGGGTTTAGGGTGTGCACAAACACCAACCCTTGTGTGTTGTAGATATATGTAGATATCTCATACCATATAATTTATGCAGTAGTTGTTGTCCCCAGTATGTCACGGAAAACGAATAAGCGTAGCAAGAAAAACCTTGTAAAAAATGTTCCTGTTTGCCTCAAGTTTTCCTTAGAAAAAAATTGACGTTGCTTATGTCAACCTAACTAGGCACACGGGGGCATTCTGAACCACCGCTTCCTTCAAACGCGCTGTCAAGTCTGTCAAGGCGCTGTCGCTGTTGACGGGTCTTCATCCTTTCATTTCCCATTGCAACGACGTCATTGTTTGTGACGGCTGTATGCTCCAAATTCTGTCAGCTTCCGGTCCGAGCATTTGCCGATTCCGAGGATCAATAGTACAGTTTATTTGCTGGCTTTACAACGATGTACAACGATGGAAAAACGGATGGGAACTCAAAGCGAAAAGAATGGGGGAAAAATGAAAGTAAAAGAAAACTTGGGAATACGAGACAAATAAGTTAAGTACAAATACAGCGCTCAAAGCGGGGGAGTTCAAGGGAACTCAACTCACTGTAGAGCAGGGACGATGGGGGAGCAGATCATCGCTCTGGATCCATTTCATCCAGTAGCGTGAGCATCTCACGCATGCTAGGGCGGAGGTAATCAATGGAGTCCCAACAGCGATCCAGAGTATAGTATCCCAAAAGACATCCACGTTCTTGACTTGGACCAGGCAACATGCTCCCCTGGTAGGTTTGACTCCTCGAATGATATCCACGGTTACAGCATGGTCGTTTGTTCTGTGAGGATAGGGAAGCTGTCCAGTTGCTACCTGCATGCACACATGAGTCACATATGCAATCGGTTAAGGTAGAAGGCCAGATATACCTTAAGGCACACCGAAGCAAATGCGTACACATCACTAAACGTTGTAATGGGAGGAATTTGCCCATCGTCTTCCACCAGTGCCATAATAAGCTCTGGCGCCATCCACCTGGTTGACCCGGCAAAGAAAGATGTTCCCTTGCTGATGGTCTCGGACATTTCCTCGATGACCTTGGAGAGCCCAAAGTCGGTGATGATCGCATATCCACGCTCATCGACCAGAATGTTTCCCTGAGTTGGGGGTCAGCGGGGAGCGGGAAAGGACGAACAAAGGGGCCTGACTCCTTTCAAGTCCCCATGGACAATGGTAGGCCTGAATGTATGGAGATAGGCAATGGCAGAAGCCACCTGGGCGAGCTACAACAATAGTTAGGTGACGAAATTCGGTGGATAACATGGAATGCGTACAAGTCTTAATCGATTCACGCTCGGGAAATGCTCCAGATAGTTGCAAAGCGTCCCATGTTCGCACCAAGGCGAGACCATGCCAATGCTCTGTGAGAGATGTACTATCCCAAAAAGCTGGGACACGTTGCGATGACATAGACGGTGCCAAGCAATAACCTCCGATTGAAGTCGCTAACGAACCATCATGTCAGCTCCAAACATTCCAGCAAGAGAAGTATTACATACCTTGATGAGCTTCTCTCGAACATTTTGTACCATGACTTGACGCAGGACCTTGATGGCAACCTGAACGATGTCGTGAGCTGATCTTGCACCATAACACCACAAAGATACTTACCGGCCGTGGGCGTCTCTCAATCGGATCGTTCCAAGTACCTTTCCATACGTCAGAGAACGTTCCATGAGCGACAGCCGCATCTCCCTTCACAACTTCATCGGTAAGATCAGTCAAGATCACAGACCCTTTCACGACCAAAGTCTTGGTGACCGTCTCCTGCAAAAACTTTTGTCGACATCGTTACTTCAATCGGCTATAGTCCTGATGCTCTTGGATCCACCTGAACTCGTCGTACGATGATATGGAAAGTGCAACGGTCCGGAGGGAAGAGAAGTAGAGGAAGTGTGGGTAAGTTTGGAGGATCATGGTATTTCGGAGATGGACGTCTGACGCAGATTCCAAGCCAACGTCTATCCAGATCGTTGATCGGCCAGTCTGGCGATGGGTGGAGGTTGATGAACACTGTTCGTTTGCCGTGCCGAGAATGTAAAGAGCAAGAGTCGGGAAGACGGGGAAAAAGAGATCACAGCATTCCCTGATGAATACAACGACAACGTCAAATCTTCATCTGCACTTTGAGAGAAAGATGGTTAACTCACGGATCCTCGTCGAATCCCTCATCCAAACTACCGAAACAGCAATCTGCAAGAATGAACTCCTGGTCCTCGCAAGCAATGCCAACGCAGACCTCTGCTTCGCATAAGCGCCAGCAATACAGGTTCATTACGTCTTGAAAAGTATCCACAGACCACCCTATAGGCAACCGTTGGTCTGAACGCGACCGTATCACCCCATCTGCCCAAGAATGCTCCAAAAAGTCGATGAATCCACGCAAAATGAATCGCTTGCGGAGCTGGGCGATGAGGGTTCTATAAGCATTGAAGATTTGTCCGTCTTTGGGCTCCTCGTAGCCCGACTTCTCAAGGGTGACACATCTGGCGGTATGCTGCGCTGTTGCGGAAACGAAGAAAGACAAAGTATTTGCGCAAGGTCTCGACATCCCGTCGATTAAATGGTATGGATCTCTTGGTGTCTTCCTCGTTCCACACAGTTCGGTCCAGAGGATCGGTCACCACCGACCGAGCATCAGACTCAAGCTTCGTAAAGCTTCT